TGAAAAAATCCATGAAGTACCTGAAAAAATTCATTAAGTTCCTGAAAAAATCCATGAAGTCCCCGAAAAAATCCACGGTCACTGAAAAAATTCATGAAGTCCCTGAAAAAATCCATGAAGTCCCTAAAAAAAATCCAGAAAACCCACGACGAGATCAAGTCACCGATGTCTTCAAAAATTACTTTTCAGGGTTCCTTAAAGATCTTAAATTATGGCTCTGACATTAATTATTTAACCACATTTAAACTAGAACAAATGCATTAAAAATGGTCACATTCGACTATTTTAAAACGTCAGACTTTATTAAACGGAAATGAATAATTATGGTAAAATATAAGTGGATGAAGATAAGTCTAATATACTCTGCAGTTTGTTTATTTACACATAAATTCTCTGTTTTTTTTACCTCATAAACGCATGTGTATTTTAAAATAATTTATACTGAATATAGCATCTTAATCTTCATACAAATAAGAATGTTAAAAAGAGGGACGAGTACAGAAAAGAGGGGTATCGAGATCATGATGGCCTGAAATTCTCTGTTCTTATCTTCTTGGATTGCTTGTAAACAATAAAAACGTCTTGATTATATGAAATGCCTCTGAAAATAATTAGAAAATAGATTAAAAAAATGTCCAACTCACAGATCTTTGACCTGAAAATGTAGTTTTTATTTGATTTCTGGGGGTTCATGTGCTCTGTTTTTTATTCCCTTTCAAAGAAAAATGTCTCCGGAGTCTGGTTTGTAAGGCTTTTTTTTTGGGGGGGGGGGTGCCCCAGGGTCACATAAAGCTCAGTGGATGCTATCGATTTGGCTCAAACTCACACTTTCGTGCCTCATTCTGAGCACAAATGTCCATGAAAATCCCATAAAGTCCCTGAAAAAAAACATGAAATCCCTGAAAAAAATCATTAAGTTCCTGAAAAAATTCATGAAGTCCCTGAAAAAATTCATGAAGTCCCTGGAAAAATTCATGAAGTCCCTGGAAAAATTCATGAACAAATACATCGAAAATGGTCACATTCGACCATTTTAAAACGTCAGACTTTATTTAACGTAAATGAATAATTATGGTAAAATAAAAGCGGGTAAATGTTTTTACCCGCTTTTTTAAATTATTTTATTTCTGGGGCTTCATGTACTCTGTTTTGTATTCCCTTTGAAAGAAAAATGTCTCTGGAGTCTGGTTTGTTAACCTGTGATGTTAATTTTCCCTCTAACCGAAAAAGATCAAAGTCCTGGCCAGCAGCTGCCCGTCCTCCCATGTGACCCACCGGGGAAACGTCCTGGCCTGGCCCGACTTCCTGAGCGGGGTGGTGGGCCGAGTCCGCGTCAACCTCAGCAGCATCTTCTGCGCCGGTGGGAAACATTTACGCTCACTTTTACGTTCACGTTTACGTTCATGTTTCTGCATTTAGACGCTTTATTTTATTTCCAAAACAATCAAATGCTCAGAAGATTCCACAAGAGGCAAAAAGTCCAAAACACAGGCGGTCAGATCCAAATAAGAAATAAATCCAAAGGGTCAAAAATTCCACACTTTTATGCTCATGTTTCTGCATTTAGACGCTTTTTTTTATTTCCAAAACAATCAAATGCTCAGAGGATTCCACAAAGGCAAAAAATCCAAAATACAGGCAGTTAGATCCAAATAAGAAATAAATCTAGAGAGTCAAAAATTCCACAAAGGAAAACAGAGATAAAAATCCAAAGAAGAATAAAAAGCGACTTGAGGCTAATAATAGGGTTAATAGGGGGTAACCGGGGGTAACGGGAGGTAACCGGGGGCAGCCAGGTGTAACCAGGGGTGACTAAGGCTAACCAGAGGTAATCAGGACTAACTAGGGGTGACCAGGGTAACCAATGCTAACTAGAGCTAACGAGGGCTAACTAGGGCTAACCAGAGGTAACCAGGCATAACTAGAGGTAACAGGGGGTAACTAGGGATAACTGGGGCTAACCAGGGGTAACTGGGGCTAAACAGAGGTAACCAGGGCTAACCAGGAGTAACCAGGGCTAACCAGAGGTAATTAGGGCTAACCAGAGGTAACCAGGGGTAACTAGAGGTAACCAGGGGTAACCAGAGGTAACTAGGGGTAACTGGGGCTAACCAGGGGTAACCAGGGCTAAACAGAGGTAACCAGGGCTAACCAGAGGTAACTAGGGTTAACCGGGGGTAACCAGGGCTAACCAGAGGTAACCAGGCATAACTAGGAATAACCCGGGGTAACCGGGGAAAAATGGGGTTAACCGTGGGTAACCGGGGCTAAACAGAGGTAACCAGGGCTAACCAGAGATAATTAGGGCTAACCAGAGGAAACCAGGCGTAATTAGAGGTAACCGGGGGTAACCGTGGGTAACTGGGGGTAACCAGGCGTAACTAGGAATAGCCAGGGGTAACTAGGGATAACCGGGGCTAACCAGAGGTAACCAGGCGTAACTAAAGGTAACCGGGGGTAACTTGGGGTTAACCAGGCATAACTAGAGGTAACCGGGGGTTAACCGGGCGTAACCAGAGGTAACCAGGCGTAACTAGAGGTAACCAGGGGTAACCAGGGGTTAACCGAGCGTAACCGTTGGTAACCGGGGCTCTCTGTTGCGCAGACTGCCCGCGGCTGCAGGACGCGGCGCCCCACCTGCACGTTTCCTCCGTGGAGGTGGGCCCCGGCGCCCAGGTGCAGCTGTCCTGCGACCCGGGCTTCTACCTGGTGGGGGAGCCGCTGCTGCAGTGCCAGAACAAAGGGGAGTGGAGCCACCCCGTCCCCAAATGCCAACGTGAGCCCACACCTCAACCATAGACTCGCATGTTTCTGCCTTTGTTTTTAACTCATTGACTGCCAGCCATTTTCAGAACAGAGAGTCCCATACTGCCAGAGTTTTTTGAGCATTTTGACCGATTTTTCAAGAGCCACAGAATAGTTTGTGCTATGACTATGTAAACACCGAACACACCAAAAGAAAGAGTAGACTCTCATCTTTCATCAGGAAAAAAATTTTTTCTACCTTATTCCGTTCTTCCTGGTCTTGCGTCTCACCGGCGACATGTTCTCTCATAGCGAACCGTTACCTTTTTCTTATTTGCCTACAGTCTATGCTCATCTCCCATCAAAAGTGGCACTGCCCCCTAGAGGGTCAATTTGTTACTACATACTCTGTCTAGAAGCCTGATATTTACGGACAAGCTTTAGCAGATCGTCCCCCAGCCACTCTCGTTGAAAAACATAAAAGACGTCTATAGACGTGTTTGGCAGCCAATGAGTTAATAAATAATAGCAATAACCAGCTAATCAGGGAAAAAGGAAAATCAACCCCGCACTACACCTGGGATGGTGGTGCCCACCGACAGGCCCTTGCCGCCGTCCGAGGGCTTCCCGTTGATGAAGATCCTCCAGTCCCCGTCCCAGCTGCGCCAGGACACGCCGATGTGCTGCCACTGGCCCGTGTTCACCGCCGGGCAGTCCGTGATCCGCTCCTTACCGTTAACGTACAGCACCCAGCTGCAGGGGAACCCCGGGAACACCGGGGGAACACCGGGAAACACCGGGAACACCGGGAACACCGGGGGAGGGTTATATCACAGCACAGGTACAAGATAATCCAAACTATAATAATAATAGTAGTAGCAGGGAGAACCCCGGAAACACCGGGAAACACCGGGAACACCGGGAACACCGGGAACACCGGGGGAGGGTTATATCACCGCACAGGCACGAGATAATCCAAACTATAATAAGAGTAGTAGTAGTAATGATGATGATAATGATAGTAATAATAATAATAGTAATAATAGCAGTAATGATGATAATAATAATAATAATAATAATAATAATAATAATAAAAATAAAATAATAATAATACAAATAAAAATAGTAATAATAATAATAGTAGCGATGATGATGATGATAATAATAAGAAAAATAATAGTAGAAATAATAATATTAATAAAAATAATAGTAGTAATGATGATGAAAATAGTAATAATAATAATAACAGTAGTAATGATGATGATAATAATAATAATAATAAAGAATAATAATAATAATAATAATAGTAATGATGATAATAATAATAATGATAATGATAATGATAATAATAATGATAATAATAATAATAATAGTGATAATAATAATAGTAATAATAATGATAATGATAATAAAAATAATAGATATGATAATGATAATAATAATAATAATACAGTAGAACCTCCACTTACGATGCCTAAACATACAAATTTTCCAACATCCGAAGTGAAATTCGATCAAATATTCGATTCGACACCCAAAGTTAATTTCCAACATACGATGTCACAGAAATTATGTCAAAGTTAAAAATATATGTACATATAAAATATAAAAATGAAATAAAAATAAATAAGCTAAGTTATTTTAAAATTCAGGTAGTGAAAGTTATAGTCCACCTCCACCTCCATTTGCCAATAACTGCCAATAAAATCCCCTTTTTATTGATTATTTCTTTATCATTTATTTCTTTTTCGATCTCTCTTATATAACGCATTTGTTTTATTGCGATCTGCCGTATTTATTAAGGAGGTATCGTAGGTTTTTAGAACCAATTATAGGAATTACAGTGTATTCTGATGGGAATATTTGACCCAACATACGAATATTTCAACATACGAAGTCGGTCCTGGAACCAGTTAGATTCCTATGTAGAGGTTCTGCTGTAATAAAACTAATAATACTATTAATACTACTAATAATAAAAATGGCGGACCCGTTGTAGTCGATGAGGAGGAAGGCGTTGTCGCTGCCCTCCACGGCGTAGGACAGCGGCGTGCCGTAGTTCGTGGTGTCCGACGACCGCATCCAGAAGGTGCAGGTGATCTCCGTGAGCGCCGGCATGGCGCCGTCCATCATCACGTAACCATGGATACCGGACACCTCGAAGTCCAGGTTGAAGGCGGAAGACATCTCTGCAGGAGACGGGAACCAGAAACCAGTCAGGAAAGGCTGAAAAGGGCCCAAACGGGAAGGCAGAGAGACTCAGATCGGCTGGTTTTTCTCCCATTTTACCCCAAAAGACAAGACTCAAACTTCTAGTTTTCAGACTCTGGTCCCTTTTAAGGCTCATTTCTGCAGGTTTTAGTCAATTTTAAGCCTCATTTCTGCAGATTTTAGTCCATTTTAAGCCTAATTTCTGCAGGTTTTAGAGGTTTCCGAGGCCCAGGGGTCAGACTCTGGTCCCTTTTGGGCCTAATTTCTGCAGGTTTAAGTCCATTTTAAGCCTACTTTGTGCAGGTTTTAGAGGTTTCTGAGGC